CCAGACGTGACTAACTGCCCGGCCGGTAAGCATTAAATTTATTAAACTTTGGCTTCCGTATCCATAGGTGGAATCGATCATGGGTTCTGTGGGGTCCGACATTTCGAAGCATATTTCCGAAACTCCTTTTGTACACATCACTGTGTAAAGTAGCAGCAGTATACCGTACTGATCTTTTAACATTCCAATTCGTTCCGTGAAGAAATCCTCTACGTCATCGATGCTACTCGTGGTAAATATCCTGAAAATGACGATCGAGATAAAATATCAAAAACGTTAAACAACGAAATAATTCTTCTGTTGGGACGTTATATTCGAACGTAAAACGTACCTTAATTGAGAATGAAAAACCTCTGATTCTAACGACGCTTGTTTCGCGGCTTGCGTTTCGTTAATTTGATTACCCTCGCTAATATCTTGGGCTGGATTCACCGTCGACTCGGTTGACTTCGAGTCAGTGTCGTCCTTGCCGGACACAAAGCCATTAGAATCACCGGCGTGCACCACCGAATACTTAGGATCCTGAATATCGGCGGCTTGATTTATAATTTCAGTCATGGCTTTCACAAGCAGCTGATCACATTTTTCGGCCTTGATAGCCTTCCAAGTTATGACGTCGCTCTCCAGCAGTAACTGCTTCAAAATAAATGCTTGAACCGCGGCTATCACAGCGCAAGGTCCGCCCTCTCTCTGTACAAGCGCGGTAGGTTCATCTATGCTGAAGTAGAAGCCTACAACAGAGATAACTGTTATAGCCACATTTATAGGAAATACGACAATATATTTATAACATTTTTCTCGCTAACTATATTACGTTTCGACTATATCATGTTCTGTATTTATTATATAAGAGGTACATGAGTAACCAACGTTGAAACTCTACTCCGGGTCAAATTGTCAAGTTTATCAGATTCACAGTGCTGTCGAGCAACAGTTTTTTGTGCGGAATGATATTCAGAAAGGCGTGATAAACGATTTTTTTATGCCATCTTTCGCGGAAATGATTACAAATTGTCTCTAGTGATCGGCCATTAAACCGGTGTGACACGACGTGATTGTAAATTTGTATGCCTACGATGTGCGGCCGCATCTACGAGATGCAAAACGCTGGTCCAGTACCTTGCGCCCATCGCTTGAAAACGTCCTCCTTGACGGTCGAGCCCCAGAGGAGCGTTTTAATATTTTTCAGGAGCTCGTCGTCGCCTGCGATGGCATTATCGGCCATTATCTTCCGGGTTGCGCGCGATAATACGGGAGGTTAAAACGCGCCGTGTACACGAGTCTTATCTGGAGTTGATCATAATAATACTTGCGGCGCTATTAGCTTCACGTTAGATCCCGCGGAATTGTCGGTCGCATATAGGCACCACCCCGATAACCTATTTTGTACAACAGAAAACTGCCAAGTACGCCGCCATTTTGAGCCGTTTTCTCTTCTCACGTGAAGTGCGTTCAAAGATGGTTCCCACTCCGCGTCGACACGCGCTCGGCGCGGGACAAATCGATATATCGAATTTCGAGAGCGGACACGTTTTGATTATTTTCAAGCGCGACTTCGATTAAACAACGATCAATTTTAACCGGCGATTTTGATTCAAGCTTGATTGCTTAAGGCCATTGTACGTAACAAAGTTTTAGTTGTAATCGTAAGGCCGTAAGAAAATAGACCAATCACGGTCGATTATTCTTTTCGCGCTTAAAGAATAATCGAGTGTGATTGGTCTATTTTCTTACGGCCTTACGATTAAATCTAAAACTTTGTTACGTGCAATGGCCTTTACATCGAGAACTATAGCTATAATTTGTTGTTCCTAATCTGAGTCCCTATTCTAAGTTCTTTTAAGTTAACAACAAAAATTAATAAACTATTTACGTTAATAATAAGATATTGTATTATTTGACGAGTTAATTAACCGTCGCGACGGTCGATTAAGGGGCAGAATTGTTTGAAGCAAAAATTTGTCAAACAAAAAATTAATAATTTATTTACGTTAATAAGGTATTATTTTACTTGACGATTTAACCGTCGATTAATAGGCAGAATTGTTTCTAAATATATAGTTTGTTGTCCTATTATTGTCAATCTAATCTTTTTTTCCTATATGTCAAACAATAAAAAATTAATCATTCTATTTGTTAACAAAATTATACTATATCGATTGAATTTAACTAGTAGAATTGCTTAAAGTAAAATTTCTAGCTGGATGATTCGACGTTCTCAATCTTTTTTTTTTTATCTTGGTCACATACTTTAGTGGCTTTAATTATTTCATTTGTAAAATTATCGCTCGTAAATTTTGATCGATGAGTTTTTTTCAGAAGATTATGACCAATTAATTTTTTTTGTGTGTCCTGTCTTTAAGAATATAAATGTCTTGCTAAATTTGAATTGATTTGATAATATATATAAATTACCATTTCAACTTACACAACTGCTTTTATATAATTTACGCACTGCTAATATCCATTGGTTCTTACTGCCCTTGTTATTTCGTCTTTGATGCAATGTACGTTTTGTTTTTTGCCCCGCGCGAATTACGCTTAAGTGGTCATATCTCTTAACACGACATGTGCACATTCTTATCTCGATACAATAAATAACACGCTTTACGCTTATTTATACATATACATTATACGTTATTGCTCGTAATCGAGCATTCCGAGTGAAAGTAAAAGCTCATAAATCCACGACTGTAGGCAGAAGGCATTTCGTGATGGCTCGACATGGCGTGTATATTCTCGCGGTACCGAGAGAAATACCTACGGAAAATATTTTGCGAAAAAAATTAAGCTTACATTTTAAGACAAATTAAAAAACTAGATCTAAAAAAAATGTGAAAAAGAATATTGAATGATACATTACAGAACATTTTCGAGAAATATTTTTGAAAATTTCGAGTGTAAAATTGAAGCTATAAAACTATTGTTTAAAGTATTTAAAGTATTTTTCTTCGTACTTCTTGCCGTTTTAACGATACACGCTTAGAAAAATGCTTGTTTTTATTTCCTTCAAGATGTTCAAGAGCGCTATGAAAAACTACATGTCTCTTGTTTTGATCTATGCTACTAAAGGTCATGAAAAAATTTGGAAGCACTCGCGTGTAAGAGAACAAAACGTCTCGAAGTGACGAGTCACTTAGCAGTCGGTCCCGATACGTGCGCCAGGAAACGTTTGTATCGTTTTTTTTTGGGAAACATGTTCACGAGACACACAAAGCTGGGTGATCTTCGGCGTCGTTCTCTTTTAAAACGCGAGAAAATATTAATTTCACGGTTTAAAACATTTAGTATATAGTAATTCCGTTCTCGGATATACTCTTCCACCTGTCGCGACAGATCGCCGGTTGGCGAATCGTGAAAGTCTCGATTCCGATATATCAAAACGTCTCACAATGAGAACCGTCTCGCGGAATAGAGAGACGAGCGAGTTACACGTGTGGGATGTAACGGCGCGTATACTTACCGTCGCTGTTATATTTTCTCCTCGAGCACGCACTTCTACGCTAATCACGTAGCGTAATTAGATTCCGCCGGACCGCGGGGGCCTAACGAGTCATAATTGCTGGTGCAGCGCTCGCCGCTCGCGAGTAATATCGTACATATACTTTGTTACTGTTCCGAGGTTCTTACGACGCTTACGAGCGGAATGGAGCGAGGATATCTAGACGCGGAAGTAAGCCGCCGCGTTGCCTCTCTGCACTTTGCGAATTCGCTCGCGTACTCGCGTATATCGCGTAATCGCGCGCATTCGCAATCATAATGGACTAGGATGGCTATCTGTCTGTCGATCTACAGCGTGAATAGAATCCCTCATCTTCGATTATAGTTTCCAACTGAGCGCCAGAAAGAGCTACGATTCCGCGCTTATGCAAGCTGAGATAAACCGCGAAGCGCGTATCTCCTTGAAATTTAAACCAGTACCTTGAGTAAAAACATTTTGTTATTTTTAACTATCATATGTGTGTCGAAATTTTTTATTTTAACGCAAAACAGTGTTATTTTCACTCCTGTGTTTCAAAATGAAGTTAGATGTTCGAAGGCCAATAAACGAGCAATCGAGAGATGTTAAATTTAAAAACAAAAATATTTTAATATCTCTTAAATATACATGGGGACCTTTCGATCTACAAAAAGTCTCCCTCAATCATTTAAGAGAATAAATTATTAAATTAAATAATTAAAACAAAGAACACATAATACAGAGAATAAAAAAAATAAGAACGCGGAGATAAGTCAATTAAACGTCGATGGTAAAACACATCCTCTCGTTATTGGCCTTTGAACTTCTAACTTTATTTTAACTCCATTGGTTTAAACAGAATAATAAATTTCTTTCGCCAGTATATAGAATAACAATTAAGGTACATCAACTGACCAAAACCCATGGTCGAAATTAATAATGTCTCGATGATTGATCCGAAAAAGTGCTGTGTGAATCCGACAAACCAAGTTGGCTCACACTTTTTCAATGTTCATATCGAAAAGACGTTATATATTGCCAGTCACGGTCCATTGGTTTAGTTAAATTAACGTTAACGACATATCAAGTATAGGAAAATTACTCAAATTGAGTACAATTTAGCAATGTAATTTGACTATGAATTTAATAGAGTAATGCCGAAATAAAAATCGGAAACGTATAATCTTCCGGCGACCTTCCGTGCGACTTTCCGCCTCGGGGGAGGACAATCCATTCATATAATTTTGCCGGTAGTTACAAAGTAATCTGGAGAAAGGTATCTTTCGTTATATAAGGCGGTCCTCATTGTCGAGTCGCCGTTCTGCAACCGAAGTTCAAATGAATGAATGTGCGAGCGTCGCGGGCGTTTAAACTCCTCGACGCCGCCACGCTCCGAAACGCTTCGGAGGCGGACTCGTTAAAAAATTAATGCCCTCCGCCCGAGGATGGCCGCATCCACGTCCGGTCACGGTTTCGAACGTGACTTTTACGCGATCGCGTTAAATTTGTACTTCAGAATAAGTCGCGCACGGTCCATCACAGATCGGTGAACCGCGTCGGTTCCGGCTCTCTGCTTTCGCTTTCGTGGTGTCGAAAGAACGGAACGGAATACGGAGCCTATATAAAATCTACCCGCTTGCGCGTATACACGCACGTGTATACATACGCACGTGTTCGGCAACATTCATCATACGTACATCGATGTTCTAGGTATCATAAGTAATTCGCGAGTACTCGGAAATATCGCGGGCCGGCGTAAAAGTGAAATGTACCGGTGGTACATTAAGGCCGACAATAAAAGCGGCCTTACGAAACCACCTGTATTAAAAAAAAAAAACGGATTATCGTTTCCTTAGATCGTGCAACTACTGCTCCTGCACTGCGTCGTCGTGCGATATGCTACATCCTATACGATATTGGATCGACGCCGAGGAAAACCGCGACCGGTGCCAAGGATCATTCCCAAACAGTAAGACGTCGGTTGCCCGTTGACGAACCGGCGGCGCCGAGTGCCAAGGAAATCTTCCGGACTCGACTGGAAAGTCAGTCGCCGCTGGCCGCGAAAGAGAGCGACGACGACGGCGGACCGAAAGGTGAGAGGAAGATTTTTCGCCGTGGTGAGGCGCGTGATATCGCGCCAAAGTGAAAATATTATTTCACAAGAATCTTGATCTCTCTCTTATACGCAGATCGTGAGATAAACACCACCGCCGGCGACGTCTTGCATCGCGATATCAAATGGCCCGAATGGGGCAGCGGCAACGGCGGCAACTGGAACCCAAGTTGCGTCAGGGTCGCCCAAGCTCAGGTCTCCGGTATAACCGGCAAAAGGGGCCGACCGTTCAAGGATCGAGGTTTCCTCCACGTCCTTGGCAGCCTGTCGGTTGTGCTGTTCGGCCCCGGCGAGTACGCCACGACAATCTCGACACGCTTCCGAGCGAGGAAGGACCGGTCCCGTTTAAATGCGACTGCTTTAAGTCTCCGTTGAGATTGTGGGGATGTATCAAGTCTATCAACGAATCGATAATGACATTTATCGTGCCCGGTCTCAACGACTGGGCGAATCGGTTGGAACCGGAAATATGCCGCATCCAAAAGCAGAGATCTGCCGAAACCGTAACAGTTCTTGACGATGATACGACGCCCGTATCTGCCGAATCCACCGATCGTTCGACAGTATCCCCGACCGCCACGTCGCTCGATGATTATTATGAAACTGTAGAAAACCACGGCAAGATAGACAATGTTAGTAATGACAGAGCTGATAATGACGGTCTATTGATTCTTGAAATTCACGACGAAAAATTAAACGACACAGCAAAGATACAATATACTTAACGAAGTAAAGATTGATTCTGGATACTCGAAGGTAGTAAATTGGTCGCGTAATAAGACCCTTGCGACTTAATTAATGTCCCGATAAGTATAGGATATGGACGTTATTAGAAATTAAACAACACAGTAAGAAATTAATTTAATGCTCGACTGACCATTGTGCCATATTCGTAGACGCAAATGATTTCTTCATACTTTCATTTCGCAGAACCAAAGATTGAGATAATAAAATCTAATTTATATTAAAAAAAAAATAAATATATAAATAGTATTTTAAAAGAAATTCGAACATTTTTGATTAAATAAGCATTTAGTCAAACATGTGAGAGGACCAGCATCGCGGAAAAACGTCTATAATAAAATCTGTTACTCGATTTTTTTAAAAATAGATTCGAAATATAAATGTTTTATTCAAGAAATCCGAATAGAGATATATCTTATTTATTCTTCCCAACATTTTTCTAAAGTTCTTTCCAACTTTTATTTTATATTAAAATTGAGACAAAACACTTGAAATACCTTGAATATCCATGATACTTCGCAAACCTAAATATAAAAAAATGTAACCACTTAAAGTGCTTCAGGCGTTTTTGCTCAATCTTATTTAAATTAAATAAGTATTTTATAAATGAGACAATGTATCGTTATCGAGCTTCTTATGACGCCACTTAGCGGCTTAATCGCGGCGTTTGAATTTTCTGCTTTCGCAAGTTTTAACGATGTTATGCGCGTATGGTGAAATTCGTGCGGTGAAATTCGTCCGTTAAAATCGGGCACGATGAAAGAGCATCGCCGAATACGCAGGTGACCCGTTTTACGATCAGATAATTCGCGATACTCGCGATACCAGCTCGAGATCAGCGAGCGGATGAACAAAATCCCCCTGGCTCGCGCCAACGTCTCGCGGTTCTAACTTGGCTGATCAGCTTCGCGCGTCTTGAAAATTAACGGTGTTCGCGTACCGCGGATCATAGGTGTGCGATTCGTAGGAACGCACGCAAAGGTTACATACACATCGGCGGCGGCGTAACGTAAGAGGGAGATTAATTACATTCGCAAGAGATCGCGAGGAGATTAGACTCGAGGGAAGGTACTCGGGGATACCTTCGCGCGGCGCTCTCGTTTGTGTGTTCCGGTTTAACGGTCCGGTATTCGCTCGCCCGGCGTGAATCGCGCGTCGTTTTTAGCGAGCGCTGTGCCTCTTGCAACACAGCCGGCGTGTACTCGTCGTAATTAGTTTGACTTTCACCCATCGCGGTCGCCGTCCATGTCGGGTGCCGTCCGCCACCGCCGCCGACGACGCTGTCCAAACGGATGGTCTCGTACTCGTGGGTCCAAGGGCTATCGAGACTCAATAATTGTCGTCGTGATTTTTCACGCCGATGAGAGTAGATTTTGAAACCCACACGCGAACACGGCATATCGGCCAAGGGCACGCAAATTCCTCAGGATCGCTCCCCGAAATCTCTCTTTTTTTTATCTTATATGTTTTCATCGTTGTCTTGTATCTCTCTCATCGTTATTATCATATACGTTATATACGGGTCACAGGCCACGCGCGCCGGGAGAGCTTTGAATTCGCAATCGATACCGTATTTAAATGTCGGCGACTTATTAATAGATAAACTTCTCTTCGATAGTCCCGTCAGCCTTGAGAGCCGTCGAAAGTCTCGGGATTCTCCGCAATATCAGGCAGGTTTCGAAAGATTAGGAGAGTCCGCGATTATGCGAAATTTTTGGAATCTATCGGAGTCGATTTGGGGATCTAAGGGTGGGCGAGAAAGCGCCGGTATAATGCGACATTCGGCGATTTCGACATTATACGGGACACTCGGTGAGGATTACACGAACGTCAGAGGCGAGATTCTTTTACCATTTTCATATTCTACGCCGCCGCGCCGTGACGATCCTTTTGAAATTGTGCCACGCGTGTGTGTGTGTGTGTGTGTGGTGGATACAGATCGTCCGTCGTCGGCGGCATCCAAGCGTGCGCGTTTGACATTAAATCTCCTGGCCCCTCACCGCGATTATATCGGATTGTGACGAAAGAAAAATCATGTAACTTCTTTTCCCTCATCAAACTAAATTAATTTGTCATCTATGAAAGGTAGCTACTTTGCGAACTGTATCGCCGGAAATAAACGGCCGCATATATGAAGAACGTAATTTATTTCGTTGTATAAAATGCAAATGCAGGAGAAAGATTCGTCGTGGATCGGCGAGGGACAAGGAGCCTTAGGTGAACGGGCTAAAATGTAGGCTTTATTACACCCAATTCTATTATATCTCCGAACCGTGAAGACGGGTGAGAGTATTCGAGACTTGGACTCGGGCTTTAACCCTACGCTGTTAAATTCGCAGTCTGTCAAATTATACTCAATTTGAGTTAATTTTAATTATTCCTGTAGATCGCCACTGCTCCTACTCAATATGTCATTAATTTAATTAGAACAATGTTAATTTAACTAAACCAATGAAGTTAAAATAATATAATATTGTTTTGTGTTAAAATAATAAATTCTGATACACACATATGGTAATTAAAAATAACAAAATGTATAATTTTTAACTCAAGGTATTGGTCTAAATTTTATTCTTTAATAACAGTGTACGAAGAGAGGAGTTCGAATGAACTGTTTAAAATTAAGAACCCGACTATCCGTCGACAATCTCTCCTACTTCTCGACGTCGCGGTGCCGCGCTGAGAAACGCGTCTCCGCCGTTGGTCGCGTAAACTTTCGTGCGAAAATCCATACAATTTATTAATTAAAATCACCATCGTATTTACGGTCTGTTACACAAGATCATTGTCTTGAAATTTAAAGTTCTTCGTACCGTTTGAAAGATTGTTAGGTTGCATTTTCGTGCTATTATCTGATACAAAGATAATGTAATAACATAATATAATACAATAATCTGAAATACCTCTCGTACACGGGCTGGAAAGTAGAAAATCTTACGACTTAACGTATTACATTAACCATCTCAGTCGGCCAACCCAACAGAAAAAATGTTCGGTCTTTCATCGGGATGAAGTAAACATGCGCCCGTCTTGAAACAGCCACGTACGCTTCCAAAAGCGATATAGCGATCATTATGCGTATCAAGCGTTGAAAATTTAGTGGAAAGTAGTGGAGAAACGTTGCCGAGGAGTTGGATTGAATATTATATTGGGTAATAGCACGAGAGTTAGGTAATGGCCTGAGTGTGTGTCTAATGATCTTTCAAACGACACAAGAAATTTTGTAAGGCAGCTACGCGAGAGCAATCGCCCACACGCTTTCCTGTGACAAATCTCTCTCTCTCTCTCTTTCTCTCTCTCATATTTACATATATATTTAATATCAATCATTTACAAACACATGCGTACGATACATATTTTGTGTTTCTATGTTCGTTGCTGCTCTCGCGCGCTTCGTTTAGACGCGATTAATTGATTTGCCAAGAGGAGTACATGCATATATTTAATATTAAAGGATGAAATTTAAATCAATACCTTGGGTTAAATAATATTTTGTCGCTTTTATCTATCATGTGGGTCGCGAAATTTATTATTTTAACTCCATTGATTTAGCTAAATTAACATTGTTTTAATTGAATTAACGACATATTGAGCAGAAGCAGTGGCAAACTATGTAGAAAAAAAGAAGTTAAATCAAAACTTGTATACTCGTATATACGCAACAATGTATAACTTTCTTATAAGAATTTCAACTTTTTATTTTAACTTTTATTTCTTGAACTATAAAATTTCGTTTAACTATATAAATAAATGACCTTCCTTTAACACAATATAATTTCATTTTAAAATTATAGATTGTTGTGTATATAAATGTTGATTTGACACTTCTCTTTTTTTCTGTGTATAATAAAAAAATGGTTAAAAAGGACTCAAATTAAATATAATTTGACACTACAAATTGAATCAGTGTAGACAGTGCGCAATCGCCCGGGATTTATGGCGAACCAATCGCCGATTGATTGTTCGTGAGCCTCCATTGTGATCGGGCCTGCATCGGGGAGACTGAGATATCGCTCCGACGGAGGGGAACAATCTCAAGTCGCCGTTTGCCGAGCAAGGTGCCCTTCTACGTGTGGTAATAAGCGATGCAGGCGTTAAGGAGAGCGCGCCGCGTCATATTGCGTTACATGTAATATTACACATCGGGCACGTTCACTCGAGCGATTTTGCGATTTTATAGACTCGACTCGCTCCGCTACTCGACTTGCGCGCCCGGTATCCTCGCAGACTCCTCTTCTTCCATGCTCCGTCGCGTCGTGCCCGCTGAGTCCGCTCCGGGTATAACGCGATCGCGACGATAACGCGCGGAGAGGAAAATGAATCGAATCACCGAGGCGTGAACCATCTCCTCTCCGCTTTTTCCTTCGCACGAAATCGGATCGCGTCTCGCGGTACTTTTCTACCACGCTACACCTGTCTCCTCTCGCGAAAACAATAGCAAGGAAGAACACGGACAAAGAAAAAATATTATATAATCACAGAAAGAAAGAATATTCTTGATTGGAAAATATCTTTGGTTTCAACGCGGAAATCTTAAAATAAGATAAGATTATGTTGCGTTAAACAAAGAAAACTTGCTTGACTGAAGTTATTTTACATAGTTCGATCGAGAAAAAACGTTGAGATTCTTACAAGAAGATTATAAATTCTTTTACGTACATAAGTTTTTTTATTTGACATTTCTTTTCTTTTCTGCGTATAAGTTCCAACACTTTCGTCTTCATATATATTGGGTGTAGGAAAAGTATATCCTCGACGCCTGTCTCGAAACCCCGCATCTCAAATTCAAATCTTCTCTCCGAAGGCTGTATTTCGAAGTATCGACATTAACATTAACGATTATAAGACGCTACGTGACAGTAAGCAACGTGACTGAAACAATCGTTAGTGTTTCACGACGACGACCGATAAAATGTTAATATTAGAAATTGCATTCTTTTCATACACACGGCTGAAGAGAAACTTGAGGCCGATGCCGTCGAAATGGTTTATGGTTTTATGGTGTGCTCCTGGTGAAAATACCGCGTATTTTATTTATTCCATTGCAAGCGCATCTACGGCAAGCGCATGTATATACCTATCTAAGTCCGCCCGTTTCCAAGATTATAACGTCTCTTTCGGGAGATCACGGGGGACCGCACTGACCTACATAGACACGTTACAACGATCTGGGCCTCCGATCGGTAATTCGTGTCCCTCCTCGTCGTTCGCTCACGGACGTCCAATAAATAACTCGCGGGTCGAGCACCCGCGTGGATGAAATCAGAGTGAAATGCTCCGCGCGTGCTGCGCGCAGCGCATATCAAAGTTTTTCAAGAGGACGTTACGAATGCCGGTCATATCCTGGCAGCCGCATACGGTCGCGTAACACAGCGACGGACGACCACCTACCTATCCGCAGAAACAGATTCGTTTTCGCTGTTCTCCAGTTCTTGCCTCCCCCCCCTCTCTCTCTCTCTCTCTTGGCGTCTTAAACGAGCGACAGATAATCGCACGGCAACAAAGTATTCGCGGAAGAAAGTAACATTGGGTAACGAGCGATCGCGTCCGGCGTCCGGCTGACGATGATGACGGTCCCCGCGATGTGGATAATGTAGCCGTTAGATCGGTTTACGCACGGTAGCGGATTCTTTTTTTTTTTTACACGCTATCACGTTTCGCTCTTACCGCGAGTCCTCGTAGAAAATAATGAATAATTCATTGGTACCATCGATCGAGTGGATAGTTATGTCAAGAGCGGTTTCGCGACATTCCTGAGATTACGATAGCGCGATGAATAACTCACCTTTTACAGATTTTAAGCGCCTCCGAACCGGAGTTTAATCGGATATTTAAATCAATGGATGTCGGGTTCGGTGTAGTAAAGTGTAGTGTTTTATTAACAAGACGGCTGCCGTCGTCCAGAAATATCTTCTCGCACATTTTACGTAATGCCGACCGTGCGGTAACCGCGGCGGCGGTAGCGAAGAAAGCGAAAATTACTCTCCGGTACCGTGGATGATACAGTTTTTTAATCATTCCCAAGCGTTCGCGTTTCAATCCGTTTTCTCCGTTATATTCTTCACTCGCCAAATACCTTCCAATCTCTCGACTAATCGTCTTCTCTCGCGAACTATTCGCTGTGCGATCTCTACATAAATAATTAATTAACAAAAGTCAAGAAACAGAAAAATATTGTTCATAAATATATATTTTATTTATTCGTATATATTACTGACCATACTAAGCATTAAAAATATATATACTTCTTGCACTTTACCGAGACGTATCTCTTGCGTTTCGTCCAAGCTAATAAATAAAAATATATCTAATATCTAATTAAATATATATAATTGCAATATTGAAAATAAAATAAAATCTGAAAATAAGATAAAATATTAAAAATAAAGTCAAAATATTGAGTAAAATAATTTAACAAAAATGCACTTTGGTTTAATAATTCAACCCGACGTAGCTACACGTTTCTTAACTTTCGTTTGCGGGCGGAATCTGCGCGCAATTGCCGCCGATTAAGAATTATCGTGGATATACGCGAGAGAATAAATGCTTTCGTTTCGGCGGTATATACGGAAGGAAAAATCTCGGCCAGGCAGCGTCAGCTAGATCGTCGCGTAAATCGTTCCGCGCGACGATGAATCTTCATTTTCTGGAGTACTTTCATTTTCTATCTGTGTGTCGCGCACCTTTGGTCCCCGCGAATCGAACCGCGGCGGCCGAAGAAGAGGAGGCGGCCAGGCGGCGGCGGCGGCGGCGAACGCCGCGATGACGACGAAAGAAGAAACCCCCTCGAGGAGCCCGCGTAACGACGGCGACGACCACGAATACCGGCCACCTTCCTGTGCCTTCCTTTTCCGTGGGTATCCCTCTCGGTTGGCCTCTATAAAAGTTCGGAAGAGCCTCGACCGCACGCCACACGCGTGAAAGCTCGCAAGTGAAACGCTCGACATTCCTCTTTTTCTACGTGCCTCACATTTCGGGAGTACTACCTTGAGCCTCCGGCGCGCGCACACACGTGGGAGAAAATGCGGACCACCGCGGTAAGTAGCGAAGCGCGACCGCGAACGTTATAAGTTCTTAATTATCGAGCTCGATCATTCGGTCTCCTATCCGAAGGCTCGCGGTCTTTAAAAATAATCGGTGCATATTTTTTTTCTTTCCATCATTGTTACTTCGCGTCTCACGCGCTGCAAGTTTGGAGATGAATGCGAGGTGACCGCTTCCTCGCGAACGTTCTTAATTATCGAGTTTGATTATTGTTTCTTGTACACTGTTAAATTCTGTAGTGTCAAATTATACTCAATTTGAGTTATTTTTAAGTATTTCTATAGGTCACACCACTGCTGCTATTTAATAGTTATTAATTTAACTAAAACAATGTTAATTTAACTAAGTCAATGGAATTAAAATAATACTGTTTTGCGTTAAAGTAATAAATTTCGACAAAAACATGGTAGTTAAAAATAGCAAAATGTTATTTAACTTAAAGTATTGGTTTAAATTTTATTTTTTAATATTTAACAGTGCACCCAAAGGCGCAATTATTTCTTCGAAGATAATTGTGTATTTTTTTCCATCGTCGGCGTTACTTCATGTCTCTCGCGCTTCAAGTTTGGAGATGAGTGCGAAGTGACCGCTTCGTCGCAAACGAACGTTCAAATTATATACTCAATTTGAGTTATTTTCAATTATTCCTACAGGTCGCTATTGCTCCTACTCAATATGTCGTTAATTTGACTAAAACAATGTTAATTTAACTAAATGGAGTTAAAATAATACTGTTTTATGTTAAAATAATAAATTTCGACACACATGGTAGTTAAAAATAACAAAATGTCAAGGTTTAAATTTCATCCTTTAATATTTAACAGTGTACTCAAAGGCGCAATTATATCTTCAAAGATAATCATGCGTATTTTTTCTTCTCACCGACGTCTCTCACACTTCAGGATTCGAGATAAACGCGAGGTGACCACATCGTCGGTACGCAAGAATATCTCAATTAAATCATTATTCTCGAGTGAATCCGTTTACGGCGCGATGCGAAAGACGTTGAAAATATCCGAGTGTCACGTTTGCCGTTTTGCAAACATTTATACGCGGATGATCGTGCGTCATATGCGTGTCGGGAAATCGTTTTACTTCGATGACTAATATATTTACGACGACGAACGTAATTTTCCTGTGAATCGCTCGCTCCTCGAGCCGCGCGATTATCCGAAGGTGCAAACGAACGTCTCTTCTGCAACGTTCAAGACCGGTTACCAAATTTAAACGTCGATTGACGCAATCCTCTTGACCAAGTGAAACGCGTAAAGTCAATTGATCGAGTGGCCAGGTGCATTTAATAGGAGTAACTTTCGGTTCGAATTCTTACGAAATCGTCATGCAATCATCGCTGGATACATCCAGTCGCTCGTCTCTTTTTGTCTCTTTTCTTTTTGCGTTTTCACCGCGTCGACCAGGCATACGCGAGATTAATGATTCGTATATACGCGAGGGAATTTGTCGAAAGGCATCGGGAATTTATTCGAGATGTCCCTCGAACAAGAGATATGTTGCTCCGTCTCGTTCGAGGAGAACCCCGTGTGCGTTTACGTCAGCGCGGTTCCAGCGGTCGCGTCGGCTCCTGTTTTTTTCCCCAGCCGATGGAAAGCGACGACGTGATCGCGTTTTTCCCGAGGAGAGGAGAGGAGAAAAATCCGTCGAGCGTGCATCCCACTGTACGCGCGAGGTGCATCGGCACGAATCTCATATCGCGGATCAAAACCGCGCTCGCGGCGCGGGCAAAAGTAAAAGGGGAACCCGCCTATACCGTGTGCTGCTCCCGCTCTGTTCACCGACACCGACGCCGACGCGGTCTCGATAATTATAGCGCGAAAGAAGGAAAATGGGGAAAGCGGCTCCAGAAGTCTTATAGCACGCGGAGCGGAGTTTCGATGCGGCACTAAAAGCATGATTAAATGATCGGCGCGGGGGTCGTTAAGTGAATAGGAAGCTCCGCTCGAGCGGAGTGAGTTATCGCGCACATCGCATCGCACGCCGCGCGCGCTTCTTCCGTTTTCGCGCTAATGGAACATGCCCGTCGCGGGAATGGGAAACGCTATTCGGAATTTAATGGGCTCTCTCGCAATATCTCCGGAAAGAACGCAAATCGAGAATTCAAAGATATCTGTCGGGCGGACGAATGATGGTTTCATCTAAGAGAGCGTAATTGGCGTGGATTATAACTCGCCTTCCTGCTCGCGCGACCGTAACATTCGAGATTTAAATTATACTTTTAAAACGCGCGCGGATGAGACTGGCTCAGCGGTGAAAAAAAAGGTAAAATTCATTTCCCAAGAGATGAAAATCACTTATCTTTCTCTCCCGTTCTTCTTCTTTGATTATACTCGGTGATTTTTATTTTGAAGTAATCATTAAATAAAATAATACTCTCCTCTTTCATTTATTAAGACTCGAAACTTAAGTTTTATGAGTGTCCACTGTATATTATTTTAAATTTTTAATCAAATTCCAATTACGGACGACTCGTCACTTCACGCGCTGAGATACACAAAGCTTTGAAAATCTATAAAGCCATTACAAGCTAACGAAATCTTAGATAAAACGTGGCACTTTAACCCTGTCTGTCGGAAATTGACCAATCAAGTGAAGAAGAGACGAATGTATAGCTTATATGTGGGGGCTTATTGAAAGTCGTTAATCAGTTCCTTGACGCGTCGCATTTACCCTTTTACCGAAGATAAATACATGAATAATCGTGCGTGATTACGCGAGTCAGATCGTACACGGGGAGTTCGCAATAAATGAGCCATTGTGCTCGCACAATTTGGCCGATAGCGGCCGAGAGAAGTTGCTAAGTGGAAGTGTCTGTCGCAAATGAGCTCTTTAAGCGAGTTAAGCAATATACCATGTCGCGTATTTTCATTTCTATTGATCCTGAATCGCCGTGGACGAGGTAATCGGTAAAATAATTCGCTGTTACACGCTTTATATCGCGAACGTGTTATATTCGACACGCCACTCGCCTGCGATAAATGATCGGCGAGTCGTTGATCTTGCGGAGAAAATATTGTAGCGTAAGTTACATAAAAAGTATAATCTGTTTTACATTTTTCGTAAAGCTGGAATGTAATGACGTAACCATCTGTTACTGCGAGGAGTGGCAATCAATTAATCGTCTATTTCGCATTAGTTAAAAATTATAATGTATATTACGAAAGATTATGCAGACTCTTCACACCAGACCGAGTAGAAACTTGTATATTATAAAAACGCCTATGCTGTAATCAACCAATCTCTCGTTGCTATCTAAAAATTACTATATCGATATTTTCATTAAATAACAAAATGTACAATTTAAATTGTAAAATCCATTCTCGAATTTGGTTTTCTCTGAATTGCATTAAAGTGTATCGAATAATCGCAATTCTTTTACAAAATATAAAACGCAGGTGAAATTTTTAAATAAAGATATAATTATCCCGTCGAATGTAAATGCCCGCGATATGTCTCGGGATACAGCAAAATCTTTATATCGTAACTTTCGCTACAATTCCCCTCGTTAACATTACAGTCACGATCACGCCCGTATTTTCACTTTTAACAGGGCACGATTTTCGCTATCGCCTGCTCGTCGATCGCGCTGACGCTCGCGAAACCGGCGCCGGAGCCGCCGGTGAGCTCGTACTTTCCGTCCTCCGGAGGGGGTGGCGGCGGCGGCGGCGGCGGTGGAGGATACGGACCGCCCGCGGCGGCTTACGGGCCGCCGCAACAGAACCCGGTGATCCACAAGCACGTGTACGTCCACGTGCCGCCGCCGGAAGCGCCGGAGTATAGGCCGCCCAAGAACATACCGCAGCCGCAGCCGCCGCAGAAGCACTACAAAATAGTGTTCATCAAGGCGCCGACCCCGCCTACGCCGACCGCGCCGCAGCTGCCGCCGCTACCGCAGCCGGACGAGGAGAAGACGTTGATCTACGTCCTGGTGAAGAAGCCGGAAGAGGCGCCCGATGTCGTGCTGCCGACGCAGACACCGACGCAGCCCAGCAAACCGGAGGTCTACTTCATCCGCTACAAAACTCAGGTAACGGATCTTTCTCACCAAACATATGTGACTTTGCTTCGCCAATAAATAATTGACAAATTGTGATTCTTTATTCCAAAATTGACTATCTTGTATTTAATATAACTGTCACAACTATATTAAATAAAGATAGTCAGTTTGGTCGAATAAAAAATCATTGTTGATCTGTCTTTCTCTCTATAAAACTTAAGTAACGATTTTTCTTTCCAAATATGACACTGCTCCGCCAGTAAATAACTAACAATGATTTTTTTGTTCGATCAAACTGGCAATCTTTATTTAATATAGTTGTGACACGACTATATTAAATAAAGATAGCCAGTTTGGTCGAATAAAAATCATTATTGATCTTTCTTCCTCTTTCTTTTTTTACGCTTCGGCGGTGTAATTCACGCAGTTCTCTTTTTTTCAACGCAATCGCTTGGACGCGCGCAAACTACGAACCTCGGCAAGGATAACGCACGACGTCCCTATCGTCGGATCTAAATGCAATGCGTTGCGCAATTTTTCAGTTGCTCAAACGCGCGTATATATCTACAGCTGGCAGCCGCTTTCAAAGCGGTCTATCGAGAAACGATTTCGGCGAATGTCGAAAGACGAAAGTGTGACGTCTCGCGCGGCATATAAATTGCTCATTTCGATGATATAGGAGCGAGCGGCGCGGCGCATGTTTTTGCATAGGATACGAAAGGATCCGGATATTAAGCGTAGATGATATTCGCACGTCATATATTTCACTTCATCAGACGAGTATACGACCTTACTATTAGTCGGACGCGAATCACCTTTCCACGGCTCGACTATATAAAAAAAAAAAAAAAAGAAGAAGAAATTGTCAAGGTGATTGCCGTGCCGACAATTTGAATAATTACAGAGAGTTTCTCCTCGAATGTCGCTTCGTAATGCCGCTCTAAGCGAGCTTGTCGAGATTTCTACTACAATGTGTCGCAGATTGCACAGGGATTAATTGTATTGTAGTACAACTCTAATATCGCTATAACTCTTCGTTACAAAAGATATCTTTCGCTATACACGTCGCACTCCGCTTAGCGCGCTACAAGTATCGAGAGCCTCGGTCCGCTTGTCGATCAAGGGATGTTCTTCCGCGTGGCGTACAATTAAACCGCTGAAAAAAATCCCTCCAGCCTGAGCTACTTTCCTTGAAATTGCTTGCCTTGCTAGCCAAAATACTAGATATATCGGCAAGAATTAAATTATGCGAATACGAAGACTAACTACCGAACTCTGCTAAATTGCCATCACAGAAAAGATCACGGCCGAGTGATAGCCACAATATAAAATTCATGTATGCGCCACGTGTCGTCTCTCTCTCTCTTTCTTGTCTCTTATGTATTTATTTTTATGCAATTGCAGAAGGAGCAAGGCGGCGGCGAATACGGCCCGCCGGGGCAACAACCGGGGCAACCCATCGACAGTTACGGGGCACCGCAACCGGGCCCCAGCGGACCGTACTAGAATCGGTCGTCGCATGGAGCGCACATCACTCTCACCCTCGAGACCCTCGGCATTTCACGGAGACAAATATTTTACGTGGTGACTTCTCTCGGTCGTTTCGCAACGCGACGCGACGCGAACGCGGGCCCGGATGGATCTTAATAATCGTAGGAGGGATGTATATATATCGCCAGTATCTCATAAGATAGGCCGCATGGTGTTTGAAGGTGCTTAAGAGGCAGACGCTTCGTGTTGCTAAAGCCTAATCGTGATGTCGCTCGCACACACACACGCACACTCACACATGCATAGATACACACACACACACACATACACACACACGCATACGTAACAATAAGTCCTTGAACGACTGAGTGCCGACGTTTGTCGCGGTCCTCTGTTGAAAGAAATGTAAAGAAAAAAAAAATTTTTATATACGAGACGTCGATGTTTCTTTTGTATCTTTTAAGAAAATAATCGTAAATACACTGTTTTTATATCAAATAACTTCCAATATTATTAATCACTTCACCGCCTTTCTCTTCGCTAGTCTTATTCCTCGTTTCGCAGATTCTTACAATCCGTTTCTCTCTCTCTCCCTCTTTCACTTTCGAGCTTCTTGTTCAATCTTTCACTACTGACGTGACACGAAATCGAAATTGTTGAAATCTAGATCGCAAGCACACTTGCAAGTGCAATCCTTATCATTATCCTTGAAACAACGTTTTAGAGAGTCCTGAACTGTACTCGAGAATATACCTATTGCCCAAACGTGTTGCCCTATCTGTCGACTAAATTTGCGATTATATTATAACGGTAACGATTCCCACGAAGACGTTTGGAACGTATGATTCCAAGATAAGGTATTCGCAAGTATTTAATAGCGCATTTGCCGAGCGTGTTCGCATTGGTATTAAGTACGAAACAAACGACCAGCGTAAATCTTAATTCTCAAATTAATTTAAGAGTTAAAATTCCACCATTCGCGACTTATCAACTACGTATAAGGGTCTCACGTCAGAAAAGTCACGTTGGACCGTCCTGTTAGTTTCAACTCTATAATAAATACTATCGGCAAATGTACGCAATATAACTCCTGACTGCGCTACGCTTGTACACTCCTATTTGTTCCAGTATCTAAAAATTTGTAAACCTGTATGCGACTACGTCAAAGACTCCAGAGACTGGGCGTACTTGCAATCGATAAATCAAGGTCGTTAAGCGAAGGATTACATTTTTTTCGTCGATCTAACTTTATCGCACGTGAATGCGATAAGAGTGTCAAAATCGCAAAGTATATCAGTTTCTGAACACTTGGTTTATATATCGAACTGGTAACCACTAATATCTCTTAATTTCGATGAGCTGTGTGTTCGAAGGGCTGTGTGCATAATAAGAGCCGCGTTCTATTACACGAATAGATAGGTACATCGTTGTTAAGACTTTTACCTACAAAAATAACTGCAAACGTATAAGATTGAAAATCGCTTCTCGCGTCGCTTTATACCGTATATTGACACTAATAGAGCGTGCATATAAACGATAGAAGGTACACACTCGACTAGAATCACGGTCAATCTGTTATCGTCGTATTTACATCTAGAGAGGTATGGCAAACGCGTTTAATCGCATTAGATCGGTAAAAATGTAGCACTACGATAAAATATATATATTTCAACTTCAATCGTGCACGATATCGCGTATACCTGACTATGTTCTTTTAACTATTTTTGCACTTACAAAAACCGCGGTATTATTCTCTAGGTGTTCTCTGCAACGCAATTTCCCTGAAATTATTTTAGCGAGTGGACGTCCTTATTGCGTTACCTAAATGCACAATTGCCTCTTCCTTCGAGTCTTTTTTGAGATATTGTGACACTTGACTATCTTACGCGGCCGCTACACTATTATATTCGTAACAATCCTTATCGCTAAAAGGGCATAACGCATTTAAACAGATTTTATTACAAATGGAATACATGTAAATAAAACTTTCCAATCGAACACGCTACATATACAAAAATACGATTGAAGACGCAAGAACGTACTGTTGTAGGAAAATACTGAAGTATCTAGAAACTATTTGCTGGAATCGCTTGAATTTTTGTGTCGTAAAGTTTGATCGTAGAAACGTCCAAATACAGGCACACAAAATTCTCGACCAGCGAAATTTTCTCTAAATGGTGCGTCGATTTACAAATTAAAATGTTCTTAGCAGTAATATCCGTGCATATATTCCATCTACCACCGTCATTTCGTTTCAGCGATAGATTCTTCAAGGAAGAATTTTTCACTCATGAAACTCGATCGTCGACCGTATATTCAAGCCATGGAAATTCAGCATTATGAAAGGATTCACAGCCGTTACGAAACGCGATAGTGATGGTAATACGCTTTATTATTTCCCGTATCTTCCGTATTGGATATGCGCTATCACATTTCTCTCTGAAGACTAAGTGACTGTAAGTAAACGTAACTGTATACCAGCGTCCCTTACACCACAGCTATACGTCTTCTCGAATATCGATTCGCAACAAACAACGGTGCGAAAGAAAAAAAAACCAAGTACAGAGGCAATGCCTCAACGATGTCGAGGGAAAAGAAAAGAGAGATTGTGCTATCTTATTCTTGGTGCGATCGCTGACGTTCATGTCTTTGACCAATCAATCGTTTAATGTACGGCGCGAGGAACGGGTAGGAGAGGAAGAACACGTGTCCGCAATAATACAAACTAGCGTAAACTTGATTATACCGCGGATACGAGAGAAGTACGAACGACACGAGGACGTATCCCATGAAAACAAAAGTGTAAAGCTTCATAAAGATCCAAGCGAGCATACGTGCTTCCCATCGCGTCTTCAGGAGCGTTTGCACTTTCTCGCTGTTCTGTAATACTGGTCCAATCTGAGAAAAAAAGAGAAAGCGAGCGGGACATGATTAAACAAGCAAGCAACTGTCAAATGTCAAAAAACATGCGAAAGCTCTCTGTTCGTGCGAGCCGTAATTGTATATACTTACGTCTCGTTCAAAGTACAACACGATAAATTCCATAAAGAAACTGTGATAGTATCCAGAGTGAAAACCGTGCCAGAGGGCAAGGAAAAGCAGCGTTATTACTTGACTGTATATTTTTGAACCCAGAAACTTCAGCCTCTTGTAAATGTACTCGGCACACCAGTGATTGGTGTTTATGTTGAACGAGAGAATGTAGTGATTGAACTGCGTGCTAGTTTCGAATGTTCGCAGTTTAACGTTCGCGCAACCGTCCCATTTAATACGACCTTTGGAGTCTTTTCCATTATGTGTGAGACCAAAAGTGATGCACACCTGAAATCGAAACATTAAACGATAACAACACAACAAGCACATACAAATAAAAATAAACAACGTTAAAAAAATATGTTTCAATTACGTACCCCTTCTGTGATTAGCCAGACGCTGACGTATTTGTATAGATTGATACGGCCCCACAAGCCGATCAGCAAGCACTTCTTTATTAAATTCAGCTTCTGGAACGATGGTTCAAAGAGATACTGATCGGAAACGTAAAGTGTGCCGATTTGGAATATCGCTACATATATGAATCCGATGAAAGCTCGTAACAATCCCGCTGACACGCAATCCGGCAGCTTAATGGCACCAGTTCGAGGATCCTATAAAATATAAAAACATGATACTTATATTAAATGGACAGTCGTATTTTCTTAAACTGGAGAACTAAATGATTCGTCGATTAGTATCTTTCTAATTCATTCATCAACGTACGCGTTCTGTGAGATGACCGTTGACATAGTCCAAGTACCGTCGCATATTGAACTGCGGTCCGATGAGGAAGGCGCCTGGAAAATAAGCGTACGCCGCAATTTCCAACAGCGACGGTCGCTCCTTCAATGCCACGCGTTTTTGACTATCGGAGAGCTCCTCCTACAACACCGTGATCGTTACGCCGCGAAATGAACGAGATAATAGAATTATGGAAAAAAATTGCGTTTCGTACGTCACGTTTTTGACCGTCCCATAAATTAAATGCAAGTCCTATTAACCTAAGGGTCAGCACGCACTGCGGCATTGTCCATTTTATATCGTAATCTTGGGTACTGGTGGTGTAATAGCCTGTATTGGAAAACAATTTATGTTTAACAAACAACAATTTGTTTAAATTGCTTTGTAGCTCGAAACGATCGACGAGAGAAAATGAGAAAACGATGACGCTCATTACGAAATAAAAGCAAACGATTGCGAAACTGAAAAGTAATATTTCGACAAGTTACAACAAAAATTATTATGGTGTAATATTTATAAAATATATTTAAAATGTTTGTTATTTCAAATTATCGATACAAATTGCCCGCAACTTTTCGAATATGCTAAAGAAAATTCCGAGTGGAAGGCTGTAATGCACGTAATGTAAGAAAATTGTCGTTTTTCGTTATAATTGTCGTTTAATTCTTACATTTCAATTTCTTGCGCCGTTCTAGTTTCCAGGTGCAAAAAGTGAATTTAATCGGTAAATCAAAAAAAGTTTTCTGCTAGAAACCTTGAACACATTATTTTAATTCTACGATAACCGCGCTAGATAGCTTGAGAATAATAAATAGATAGTGCCGCAGAGTATAAATATGTAAATATATAAATATGTAAATATGCGTGGACTAGTTTTTCGAAGATGAATAAATTTTCAAATTTATCGTCATTGTTGCTTTACCGTAAAGTAGGTACGTCATGTTGAAGAGAAACGTCACTATGACGGACAATGCGCTGCTGCCGAGGATCGTCAGGATCAGATACGTCGCGCATACCGCCGTCGATGAATGGAGTATATTACAATCTGCAAAATCATTATTATTGCCATGTGATCATCTATTATAAATATACGAGCGCCGGGGTATCATTTGCGTGTCATTCTCCGCGAATTAAGATACTGTTCAAGTGAATTACCGTAATTCCAGTAGCCAATTGAGAGACCGCACGCTATAAAAAATAAGTGCTGACGAATGGGGTCTTTGCCGTAGAGCGTATACCTATGAATAAGAGCAACGGGAAATCCTGAAATCAAATTAAATATCAAGTTAGAATTTTTTATAATTTT